AATGAAACTGTCACCCGTCGGTTCAATAGATCGGGAAGTGAGGGAACACATACCGTCGCTCGCTCACTTCTCGATCATGTCCCTGCAGAGAGCCGTGACTGTCACTCACGGCTTCCCCCCCCTCCCCTGTCCGATCCTCCAGCGCTGACTGGGGGAACGGACTGGGGAGGGGGCAGGTACAGCTGGCTCTGCCTCTAGGTAGGCAGAGCCCACTGTCACTCAAGCAGCTGGGTGGATCTCGACAGTAATGTCGGGATCCGTCCCGGCTGCTGCGGTCTCAGTATACCACGAACTGTAGCTGGCTATATACTGATCTTTGGGTCATGGGAGGAGGCTAGTTCATGCCCTCCCGTGACCCTTAGGAGAACTATGGATGTAAGTGAAATCAATGGGGCCGCGCGGCAATCGCTATGCGCACCCGAACACGATTGGACGGTCCCGGGATGTGCGTCCCTGGATCGCTCAGATCTGAACCTAGCCCCAGCAGTATCACACGGAGAATTAAAAGGTTGCATCAGCTCAACAAAAGGATTAATGGGGATGTCTCACGTCATGCAGTACACAACAGTAAATGTCCACAAAATACTGCATACGGTGTTTTGGGGAATCTCTCACCCACTGTTATGTCACAGGAGTTACCCCTACAGGTTCCTGTGATTAGGAAGGGTACTATACGTGCAGTGATTTTAAGTTATAAAAGCTCAGCATGTGGAGTTGCCTGTAGAGCTGGTGTTTCGTAATGGATTTGATCAGAAATGAGCAATCAGTTCCCCTGAAGATCTTCCCTTCAGCCAGTGTGAATATCAAGCACTGAGTGAATGTGAGTGGATTCTCCATTGCTTCCTATGCACATACATTATTACTGTTCATCTCTGATATATCATGGGGATACAAAGCTGTAAGCCTGGGTTGCCAAATCAGCTTCTTTGGGAAGACTGCACACAGTTTTATTTCTCCTTATGCTGCAAACATAAATGATATAAAAGATTAACACATCTAGTACTAATCTTGCAGAAGGACAGATGCTTCAAACTATATTTAACATAAAGCTTTGAAGTATTCACTTTAACTTTTAGCTCCAGGGAAGAAGCTAAATATATAGCTGAACTTCATTGAACTCTTTTACTTGCGAAGGGTTTTGTTAGGACCTGCATCAATGGGCTTTGGAGATCATTCAGTATTCACTGACGAGCGCATTTGATTGACGTGCAGTTGACCCCCCGTTGACCTACATTTGACCTGCTTCAAGCATTTTTTTTTTGCATTCCCATAGACTTTTATGGTAATGCAAAAACCCGTTTGATGCGAATAAAAGCCCAATGACGCAAGCCCGTATACTAAAGATTTCCTGCTACGCAGAACAGCCTGATTCCTAACATCAATAACTGGTAACCAGTAAGGCTCAGTCACAGACCCACCCCAAGCCTGCTGACTGTTCAATAAAGTGCAGCGTAGTAACAGCGATGTCCTCTCTGTACTCTTCCTTCCTGAATACATGTTCACAGTGTTAAACTGACAGCACTGTGCAGCATAATACAGCTCTGACTGGCTCCACACTCTTACTGTTTGTGTGCTGCTGTGCACTGAATGATCAGAAGCTGATATGAAGTCAGATTTTGCTAATTTTAAGTACGAGCTGTATTTAAAATACACATAATGATTTTTCTTTAAATAAATACATAGCTGGATTTAAAAGTATTTATTTTATTTCTGTCTGGATTTTAGCTTTAAAGCAATCCTGTCTTTGCTTATTCAAGGCAAAGAAGTCGGAATTCTTTATTGCCCGGCAGGTATATACTCACCTTTCTGCCACTCCCCCACAGCTATGATAATCACTGTGGGCCAAAGGAAATACCCAATGACAGTGCTGGGCCAACATGGGGAGTCCAGGGACTCATAACTTACATAGGGCTTCTCTCTCATTCCCAGAGACTGAACAGAGCAGAGAGGGAGGGAGGGAAAGAACAATAATATAGACATCTCTCAAGGTCTGCTTTAGACCAGGGGTTCACACCTGGGCGATCCGTGATCACGTGGCAATCGTGCATGATACCACGCGGATTCGCCCATCCCCGACGATCCCGCTGTGGGTGCCATTATTTTCTAATGGCGGCCCAGTTGCACCGGGTGGGTTTTATACAATTTTTTGGGGACAGATAGAGCTTTCTTTTGGTGGTATTTAATCACCACTGGGGGTTTTATTTAAAGGAAAAAAAACCTGTTTTCCCTTTATTATGTTATGAAAATTTATTATTACCCATTAAAATATAAAAGACGGAGTCACGCCGGTTAGACATGTCGATCCTTGAAATTGCGCATGCCCGCATAATTGCAAAAAAACTACCACACTCAAAATTGGCCAAAGGCGACGCTTTAAAAGCTTTTACTGCTAATCAATTTAGTAATAACAATGATTGATGGCCCTAAAATTATTGCTCACACTCAGACATTCGAGATGATATGTTACATGGGCAGCGTAATTAGCCTAATCGTCATTTTCGTACAAGAAGCTAAGACGCCCGCTATGTGATATCAAATTACAGTGACAGGTCCTCTTTATGGAGACATTAGTAGTCTCTAAGACCCCTAATGTCACCTAGGGACCCCCAAAGATGCTGATGAAGCAGAGATCTGCTTCACTAGCTTCTCCCTGGCTTCTGTAGCAGGAGAGTGACATCTGAATGTGGAAGTGATGTAATAAACATCACTTCCGCACACCCAACACCGGAGGGGAGATCTTGTACTGATTTTCCTCCGAACTCCCTGCACAGAGCCACAGTGCCGATCCTGGCGGTGGCGGAGAGGGGGACGGCACATGGCGGCACAACATACTAGCAACCAGGGGTCTCTACAGATACCGGACGGCTTGTATATAAACAGTCATCGCTGGCTGTTTCAAATTGTGACATTGCGGGCACGAGGGGCATTTTAATATTCCCGCTCACACCTACAAGGCTCCCGTCTGGCTATTTTCGTACGTTCGGGGGACTGGAGGGGGTTAAACCTGGAAACCAGCTTTCTGTGCTGCATATCTGTACAAGCACAAGCACCTTTATATTAAAGAACCTGAAATTCCGTCACAACTTTTGTTACGTTTGTATAAAGCAGATTTAATTCAGGTTTCAATTAGCACAAGCCTGCTATGCTGGAGTAAGATAGCAGACTCTTCTCGGTGTACATTATCATTAGAGCGAGACGAGCGTGCCAACTTAGAAATTCTTTTCTTTTTCTAGGCTAAAAAGATAAAATGCTCATAAAGTTTCATCTACAAAAGATTACATGAATACAGTCAGAAGTCGTGATATTTGAGATGATAGGTAGAAGGATGGTGATTTATATATTAATATTTTTTTTTTCTTATTTAACTTTGATTCTATTCAACTTAAACTACAGCCCTTTTATTTCATCTTTGCACCTTTCATCCTCCCTAAAGGATTTCTCCTTCCAGCAGTGGAATACTCTTGTTTCCAACTAAGCCTTTTCTTGAAAATAGTTTAAGTTGTCCCTGTTCAGTTGTCTCCGAGGTGCACTTGTCAGGACTTTCTCCATGAACTGATTTCTGAGTAGCATTTGCCCCAGACTCCCCAAAGAAAAAATAAAGAAAAAGATCCCATGACCTGACTTTTCAGTAATATAGTCTAAAAGATCAAGCTGTACAAAGGCTCATATCTCAGTTTCCCCAAAACATAGGCAGAAAAGTCTCACTTGTTTAAGTGGAATGTCTCCTACTCTTCCGTATGTTATGTAATATACCTTTTTTCCCCAATACGAATACACATTCTACGTTATTACTCTGTCACGTCCCTGAAAGTAGTTTTTGACCCGACTTTCATATTTTTACTTACTTGCTATTTTTTTCATACACAGAACGGTCCTCCAGTGATCATCTGTACAATAGGGAATGTGAACAGCACCCCGCTTACCGCTGAAATAAGCTTAGTTAGTCTTATATAAAAGTCTGTGCAGTACAACTAAACCTGGTCATACAATTGTGGGTTTTTTCAGCCTGCAGGAAGTGAATGAGAAAAAAAAAACTTCTTGATTTCCCCATACCAGCTAAACGGTGTACAAGGAGCAATCTACCCTGCCAGCGCCCGGAGCTGCCAGAATTCCCAAACACTGACTGGCTACAGTCACCATTCGGCTGACAATTTTTAGGCCTGGCTTCTTCGACAAAAGTTGATTTAAAAATTGACTTTTCTGGCATAATGGTGCCTACAGGGCCGCACACAGCTCAAATTTCGAGTCCTGCTGAGCATTGTATGTCCAGCTTAAAGTGACATGAAGGGCAAATGTCCACCCCCCCTCAGTGCCAACAGTGCTAAAGTAAGGACTTACCTTAAATGATGTCTCTTAATCCGATCTTCTTCTCCTTCTTCTTTCCTGTAGTTTTTAACTGTCCCTCCAGCGCTGGTGCAGGTCTCCGATCCAGCGCTGACTCCTCTGTCCTCCTTTTCTCGCATGTCCCATGGACTCTGTGCGGGTGCACGCTGCTCCATATACTTACCTTGCGTCTCTCCTCGTCTCCCGGCCGAACATCTGAACTGCACATGCGCCCACCCCAAGATCCTTTGCAGCTGCCCGAGAAATTTTCAGATGTTCGGACGGGAGTGCACGGCGGAGAAACAGGTAACTATTAACCCTTTGAGAAAGTTTTTTTTTTAATCGTTTTGCATATATCTACTGCATGCTAGCCATAGATATATGCAAACACATGCAAGGGTTTAATAACCCTTTAAGCAAGTGTGAATATGTAATGGAAAAAGTCCATTATAAATGTTCACAACCTCTGGCGCTGCTGATCACACAAACAGTATCAGGTTGTGTCCACAAGCTAAAAAAAACGGGTGAGACCGGGTCTCTCCAAGGGCGGCTCATACAGAACAAAAACTATAAGTCAGACCATGCCAACTTGTGTTTAGCTTGTTGCTGGTACAACTCATGTGTGACAAATTTGCTATACAGGATAGGACAGGGCCAAGAGATACCCATCTCCACAGTTCACACCCTTGCTTGTTGAATCAGTGAGGCGTCAATCTCTTGCTGGCATTTTACATAATGCGGTGAGGGAGTGACACCTTGCCAATCCAGCCAGGGTTGGCGTCACCTGTATAAAGGAGTGAATGTTTACTGCATAATTTAGCAATCCTGAGAGGATCCCGTGAGTGACATCTCCATGAATGCCTAGATACCCCCAAAACTTAAAATAAAAAATATATTTTTCCATCCCCTATCCCTGCACAGCCCCCCAGACCTCTGTCAGCACGTACATGCATTTGGTAATACAGCAGCTCATTGCTGTAACTTCACTGTAACTTCAGAGCCCTGCAGAGGAAGCCCGTAGTAAAAGATTTCCTCTGCTGGCTCTGTTTGCAGCAGTGACGTTACAGCAGTGAGTGCAAAACAGGTTTCTTCACAGTAGAATCCTATTTATGGCTGTTCTTCTCACTAAGATGCACCTAACCAAGTTTTTTTTTTCTTCTCATTGGTAGGAGGAAATAGATGGTAATTTTCACAGATCCAGTACCAGAAAACTTTCGGTAAGGAGGAGATTTCCAGTCTGGAAGGTTTTGCATATTGAAAGTGGAGGGTGGTGGTGGTGGTAGGAGGGGGGGAGGGTTTTTTTTTGAGTGATGGTTTTCTCAGCTCGGGATGTGAGCAGTTTTACAATCTTCAATGAAAACCCCACATCAGCAAACCTGTGAAATATTTGCAGGATCGTAGCAAAGGCAGTAAGAATAAATTTACATACTTATAAGTAAAAGGTAGAAATAGACACCGGTAACAGCTGACTAATTAGAAAGAAGAACAGTTTGCGATTTATTTTATTTTATTCTAAGCAGATCAGCAAGCTAAAACTTTTTAGCTGGATACCCCAGGGAAAGAGAAAAGGAAGAGGTTTTTGTTTAGAAGTGTTGGTGTCAAAAGTGAAGGAAAATAAAATGTGCTAACAGCGGGCGACAAGGTAAAAATAAACAGTTGTCAGTTCTGCAAATCTTCACACAGGCGATAGGCAATGACCTAGGACAGATCAGGACATGAATTGTGACAAAAAGCTGCTACATTCAAATGTCTAGCGAATAAAAGATCTGTCACTTTCAAAATATCTTATTCGCAGATCAATCGGAAACAAGTAATATGAATTTCTAAAATCTTTTATTTGTCAAAAATAGCTTATCTTTATGCGAACGAAACATGCAGCCTGATAAACTCGGGCCAATTAAAGGGCTAATACACAACAAAGGTATGTAGGGAGGATAAACAAAACACAAATTTGCCGTAGCTCATCTAGCTAGCAAAGACCGGTTTCCAGTTTACAATAAAAACAGAAGTCTCAGTAGCATGCATTTGTACTGGGCGCTATGTCTTATGTCAGGGGTAGCCAATATCGAAACACTCCAGCTGTTGTGCAACTACAAGTCCCATGAGGCATTGTGAAACTCTGACAGCAACAGGCATGACTCCCAGGGGCAGATGCATGATGGATTTTGTAGTTTTTACCACAGCTGCATTGCCGAGGTTGCCTACCCCTGTCTTATGTCATTTGGTTTGAGTGTATATTTAGAGTCATGCCAACAGTTTTCATGAAAAGAGGTTTCTCAGGTTTACGTAAATAATGTAAAGTCAAACATTATATAGGGTGCACCAATTACTGATGAACAAATGCTGTACGCGAACAATTTGGTACGCGAACAGGAAGTTCAGCACAATTTCGCTTCTGTTCGCGGTCTGATCACAGTTTGATTCGGTTCGTGACCAATTTGGTTCGCAACCAGCATCGTGGAACCAATTCAGTTTGTGAACCGAGGTACCACTGTATATGACCAATTTAAAATAACTCCTTTAAAAATAAAGAATAACAGTAAAATTAATTTATATGTGCACTTGGATTTTTTTTTTATAAACTGTCACCTTCAGAAGTATCTGTACTGAAGATGATTAATCAGTCCCTACCACAAATGAGCAATTTTGCCTTTGCCTTGTGCAATGGATAAGCAATACTTCCTTTTGTTTTCATTCTCACTCACTTATTTACACGCAAACTGGATGTTTGTATGCAAACTGGCGCATAAACACAGGCAGAACATACAAATCCCATGCAGATTTTGCCCTTGGTGGAAATCAAACCTAGGACCCCTAGTGATGTAAAACAACGCTCATTATTTTTCTGCAGAACTGTATGGGTCACACAAATAATGCAAGCAAAAAAAACCCCAAAACAATATTATTAATAATAAATAAGTTGAGAAAAGTATTGTTGTTTTATATAAAGATTTTTAAGCATAACACATTGTAAGCATCCAGTTCTTGTGGATTACATATTCCAAAAACAAAAATCTGTTTGTTCATACTGTGTTGCAGGCACCAGCTAAATTGGGGCACAGTAATTCTAGAGTCACACGGTCAAACAGTCTACAGGTATGTATATCTAGTTGTGCTGTAGTGCTGTCTTCTGTTTTGGATATAGCATGTAGCTCAAACAAGCCTCTGTACTTCTAGGTGAACAACATTAATGGCCACGCTGGAAACCGAATAGCAGCAGGGGCATCCTTTGATCGAGCTAACAGACGACGACATTCTGTAAGCCTCAGTCGGCAAAAGAAATATATTATGCATCTGTGTTGTGGATGTAATTTTCATGAACAATACATTTCTGGCTACTTGGGCATTCCCAGCATATCATCTATTAATCTCATGAAGATTGAACTTTTTTTTGTCATAAATGTAAAAACAACAAAAGAGAGAGAGAGGAGAGAGAGTGAGAGTGATAGAGAGATTGATTGATTGATTTCTGACAGGAAATTGTAAAAAAAAAAGAGCTTTATAAACCCAAGAATACAAATTGACAGTTAGGCATTCACACCTATCTGTGTGTGTTAACGCAAGGTGTAAATGTTTCTGCCTAATATGCATTGCAATAGGAAATCCATCAACTTGAAATGGCCAATTACTAGCCTTAAACTGTTTTTGGTAATACAACACACCAACAATGCATGAAATGTGCATTGTGGTGTGCTGCAGTGTGGGTGCATTGCCCACTACTGTAATAGTTTGGGAGCACTTACTGCAGTTCCTGTGAATCAGATAAAATGTAAGGACTGGGTTGCCCTGTCAGTCACACCCAGATTGACAAACTTCGACTAAAAAATAATAAGTTGGGTGGAAAACTGTCCGCTTGTAACGCCGTTGGGCCGCTTGCTCCAGTCTCTGCCGCGGCCCCTCTGCGTTCCACCGTGGAACGCGGAAGCGGCACGAGTTCCGGCTTGTGAGACGGTGGCTGCGTTTCACTGTGGAACGCGGAAGTCGTTCGTGCCGATCAGCGGTTCCTCCCTCAATTCCTGGCCCTATTTAAGGAGACGAACGAGGCAGCATGGCGTTCCGTGATTGAGGTCAGAACGCCTGCTGCCTCCTGAACATGGGTGCCACATTGCTACCAACCAAGACTGGGACCCCCACTCTCTGCTGAACTACAGTGCCACCACCTGTAACAGAACCGCAAGTACTACTCCTATTGGAGTGTTTCCTCATTTGAGACTGTGTCTGGTTCATGCATAGACTGTATACCTAGATTGCTGCCAGATTCCTGCTAACTCACCAGTACCATCTCCATTGAGCTGATACCTGCACCTTACCCACTGATTGCATACAGGCTATGAAGTAATAGTGCTGTCCTAGTGGTATTTGCTTTTGGCTATGATGGTTGAATCTCAAACTCGCCGTTAAGATTGTGAGTGACTCCTGAGATTCGTATCTGATTGGTCCCCATAGAGAAACACCCCGCAGTTGGTGATCCACCCCTTGGAATTCCCAATAAGCGTGACACCGCTGCATTTTTTTTTTCACGTTCAGAATTTTAAAGCCGAAGTAGACCTGAAGCCATATAAATGGTAAAAAAAATTGCTATGCCGCCTATATACAGTGCAATGGCTGCCTAAGGGGAGAGTCAAGGATATGTGTGGACTGTTTCTTTCTCTGCCTCTTCCGCTACTGGCATTGTTGTCATAAGCCCGACCCCAAATGTACTTTCTGCTGTCAACAAACCTACTACCTATTTTCGACCTTCATATTGCAAACTCCTTCCTGTCTCTCAGATATATGTAGAGAATTTGCAATTTACACAGAGATAAGACCTAAACCTTCATTTTGCCAATAAGTATGATGAATCAAACTACAATGAATGAACTTCAGAATTATAGATTCAAAAACGGACACTCTGGTCAGCCTTATTGGTATCCTGCCCCCCAGATAATACGTGTTAAATGCTTGAGAAGGTTAGGGCAGACCTGGGCATTTTATGGCCGAAGGCCGTACCCAGCTTTCTGGCCTGCCGACCTGTGCTCTGTTATGGCTGGCTGCCATGGCTGTTAGGACCACTGGTGTCCTAGCAACCAATGACATTAGAGGCCCTCTTCCTGGGGTTGGGGTTTGGCATGAGTAGTTTCCCGCCCAGCAGAGGCTAACGCACGGTACCATGCAATACAGTGTGGCAGATGCATTGCATGCACTAATTTTTTCAACTGCAACGCAACGTATTACAGTACCACGTGTTGTAGCACAGTTGATGGCATTGCGTCCAGGAGGTGCGTTTGGGGTTCCAATCAAATGAATGGCAAAGCGACGTACCTGCCACACTGTAGTACACGGTTGGTGTGTTGTGTGGTACCGGGTGTTAATCGGGCTGGACCTCCACAGCCACACCTGTTTTCCTATGTGCCCAGCTAAGGAAATGAATTGCCAAACCCTGGTGTAGGAGATTGTAAATTAGAGGAATACTTAATATATTCCTCGCATTTCTCTGCTCCCAGAATGTGGGAGGGCCTTTGACATCCTCACAACCAGCACAGAGGAGCGGCATTATAGAACAATACTATTTTTTTTTAATAAGGCTGACGGGACTTCAGCTTTTAGGTAAACCTAACGGAGTATCTGAAATAAGGACAATTGCCATATTTGCGATAACAATAGCAGTTCACAGTTTATTGTAGTGTAAAATGACTCCTGTATGTACTGTATCTCTTTTCTAATTATGTAACTTTATAGTTCCAACCATAGAACGCTGTGGCATTGTTGTGCTGGATTAGAAAAAACAGCATAGGGTGGCACAAAAGATCCAGGTTTTCTATAGCCCTTTAATACAGTGTTTTTTCTTTTTTTCAGAGCTATCACAGGGATAGAAGATATCATAACTCCTTAAGGCACTCCGTAAGTTTTGAACAAAAGAGCAGTCTTCTAATGACATACATTTACAGCATGTAATAGAAATACTTTCCAAATAACATTTAGTTATGCAATGTCTATCTGTAGCCCCCAACCACTTTCCTCCTACAAGCTTCTGTTACACTAGAAGTTGATGGTCACAGAGACAGATGGAACAGTGACTGACACGTATGAAGAGCTATGTAAAAAAAAACTCAACTGAGCAAAACACACAGCTCTTAACACATCAGTCCTTATGAATCACCTAATAATGATTACGTATTTTACCTGCAAATCCCCTTTTTACAGATGAGTAGCTAGTTCTGCAATCATCAATACCTTGCCTGGATCCTGCTGTGACTATATACTGTTAAAATTTGCTATGTTTTTTCTTTCTGCAGTCCAATAGGCATTATCATTCTTCTGCAGCTGCTAATAGTCTTTCCCTGCAAAGAAAACAGTCAAAGATCCTCGAGACAGCTTTAATACAGGTAAAGAAACCCCACTGCTCACAGACCTTAAAGTGACATTAAACCCTCAGATTTTTTAACATAAACCAATACTGTAATGTGTGCCTTACTGTAGTCCATGGTTGTTTCCCTTCTCTTTGCTGCTCTTCCTTTTAAATCCTCATGTCTTCTCATGCTTGGGGAGAACTTCCCTTTTCAGCTCAGGGCCTCTTCCTGTAGTGCTGGCTTAGGTTACAAGCCTATACAAACCTATACACAGACACCGTGTATCCATTCCTGAGATAAGGCAGTCTGCTGCAAAACAGAAGTTCTGCACAGCATGAGAACAGATACAGATTTAAAAGGAAGAGCATCAAAGAGAAGGGAAACAACCATGGATTACAGTAAGGCACACATTACAGTATTGTTTTATGTTAAAAAATCTGAGGGCTTAATGTCACTTTAAAGCAGACAAACATATACTGTACATACACAGTTGAAATCTAGCCTAACACTATGGGGCACCATAGCAGGTCTTTATGCAAAATATTATAAGATATGTTCTTTTGCTGAAACCTGTCATGAAACACACAGACTGCCACTGCTGACTTTTACAGATGTCAAGCACAAAATAAAAAAAGCCACTCCAATACAACAACGAATGTTTACTGATTTACTTGTAAAACAATTTGCAATACTCTTTGGCCAGTGTTGAGATCCACGAACCTCTGACACATATGATAGGCAGAAAGATGTCTTCACTATTGGCTTAGATTTACAACTTCCTCTGCCACTGGATTTATTATCCTATGAACAGGATCGAGTTTGACATGGGAAGCTGAAAGCCTACCTACCTGGCTATGCAGAAAGTGACTTCTGTGTCATAACAATGGTTGGACAGGATTACCATTTCTAGAGCAGGTGAAGCAGTCCCAATGTATTTATTTTGTGTATGTAGCTATTTGCCTGGAGCTTTGCTTTAAAGTGACACTAAACTCAGGAGTTACATCTTAAAATTGAATTCAAGTACCTTAACTATTACCAATAATGTATCTTATTTGTGTATCACTCGGCTGTAGATCCTCAAATCATCATTGTATTGGTGCTGACACTGTCCTTCCTTCTGGAGGGGGGCTACTTTTGTTCCCCATGGTCCCTGTCTGTGATGTAAAGTAGCCACCGCTCCAAGCTCGCTCCCATGTTGGACTACAATCTCATGTTTAGTTTACTAATTTGTATTGAAGTTGTAGTCCATCACAGGAGTGAGCTTGGAGCTGTGACTATTTTACAACATACACAGGGACCATGGGGAACAAAAGTAGCCCCCCTCCAGAAGGAAGGACAGTGTCAGCACCAAGTCAGAGACGATAGTTGGATCTACAGCTCCTGAGTTTAGTGTCTCTTTAAAGGACCATTTATAGACCTTCAAGCTTACTTCTTTCATAAGGAACTGTGGCATATCTGCTTTTTTAGTTCTACCACGCTCTACATTTCCTGCAATTGCTGAATGTTAACATTTATTGTTTCCTCACAACATGTCATGTATAGTGAGACATTAAATTCAATGTATCCAATTCAGTCTTTTTCCGGAGGTATCTTCCATGGCATAATAATTATAGAATCATTACACTGTAAAAATTCTCAACGATATGAGAATTGATACTATACATTTTTGTTCACTAGAGGAGAGACTATATTCTATTTTAGACACTTAATGATTGTTTCCAGATTCCTAACAACACAGATCAGCAAACAGAAAAAATTATGATTCTGTGCCAACAATTTACTGTCTTTACTCAAAAAACACTCTCCTTAAGTATCATATCTCCAAGCCATTATACTGCATTACAGAGTTTAAAAATATACTCATCTAAAGATTATATTTAAAAATGTGTCACGGATGAAAAAAGGAACAGTATAGTAACTGTACATTATCAAGTCTGCCAATGAAATGGCCCATCAGGTTCACAAATTAAACTTGGTTGGTTTCATGCCAACAGCGTCTTACTTCTTTAAATCCACACTTTATCTTAGAGGGTGACAGGGTCTGACTGATCTACAAGAAACCTGTACAGAGAGAAGTATATAGGCTGCCATTACCTACTGAAAATGCCAGTTTTGTGATCTTCATAGCTTCTGACCCAAACGCCAGGAACAACAATTCAGACAGCATAGTCAGAACATCTAATCTGAAGCCGAAGACACTGGACCATCAAGGCGATGGTCATTACATCATCTCAACACAAACAACATATGAAAACACTTGATCCTGTCAGACAGACTGCACATTTTGTAAGAAAATCCACTTGCTTGATAGGAGAGTGAGCATGAATCTACAGGTTTCAACCTGTGGATCTAAAACTAAATGTTGTCACTTGGGTCCAGGATAGAGCCAAATCATCTACCAGGCAGCCTAGTCAGGAGCCTAGGGCCCCAATAAATATTTATGGGACCTAGGTACTAGCGTCATGCAATAAACTGGGGGGGGGGGGGCCACCCGTTGGAAAATACGCGTGCCCCTG